TATATATATATATATATATATATATATATATATATATATATATATATATATATATATATATATATATATATATATATATATATATATATATTCATACAAGATGTCGTTGCGCTGCCGCAAATAGCCCTTTTCGTCATTCCACACTATTCTACCGCGTGACAGAAGGACTTTCGACTCCGGTCGGTCAGAAAGAAGCAAAAGGGGGAGTAGTGGAGCAGGCGCGTGAGCAGGAACAGAGCTCTGGAGTGCGAGATGAAGTCGGACGCACCACAAGAAACATTGCATGTTACCCATCACTCACAGCCACGGCCAACGCCACCACCACATCTTCCTCTAACACACAGGAACAACAAACGCAAGCCACGATGAACCCAACGAAGGGAAGCAAGCCTGAACTGCCAATGAGCAGGTATGTCCCGCTCTTCTCAAGCACAAGTAACGGATTCTCGGCAGACTCGATTGCATTCCCACTCTCGTGCTCAAGGCCGTCCTACTTGACCCCCTCCACCTTCAGTCGCCACGCCACGCCACGCAACACCACAACACGCCACGCCAAGCTACGCGCCACAACGCCACGAGTCGCCAGCCTCACTCCTCGCTCCCACGCGCCATGTGGATTTGATTCCGCAAGCCGCCCAAGTTCCTCAAGACCAATCATAATCTCGCGATCGACCTCCGAACCAAAATTGAGGCTTGTAAATTTTCACAGTTGTGCTGCAGAGTGGTTTCTCCCAAAAGCAGTCGAGAGCGAGAAGAAAGGAAACTAGGTCGCCTGCGACTACCAACCACAGAGGTGCGTAAGAGAGTGCGCAAGCGAGCGCGCCACCTCTGCTCGCCCAAGAAGGCAACCACACCGATCCGTAGGGCCTAGCCCCACCAGCCATGGCGTCGGGTCCACTGGTGCTATGTTCATGCTAAAAAAGCATGAACCTGCCCGTTTTCGAGACTCGGACCATGTTTTCTAAAGCACAAACATAGAACGAGAGGGGTCGACTTCTCTCCGCACCGGTAATTCCGGGCACTTGCGAGATGTCAAAGGCCGACTTTGTTCTGATGCCAATTCAAGGAAATCCCAGAGTGAGTAATCCCTTCGCCCCACTGCGCACCCTCGAACGTTATCGTGTAGCGCAAGATTTTACCTTTTGAATCTGGACAGGACCACCTTAAAAAAAAAAA